TCTGTCGTATATAAACATTTCAGGCTGTCAGCATAAACCACAAAATTTATCTTTCAACTCTGTTTTTTCCACCAAAATAATATTCTGATAAGAGCCCCCTATTTCTAATTTTGAGAGCACCCTGGGCGCTTATTACGTCGAACACGTTAATTCCTTACACCAGTACTGGTAGCTAACAATGAAATGGTTTGTGCTGTTAACATAAAATGAAAGTTCTGGAACCCTCTTGCACAAAGCAATATTTGAGTTTTGACTCTGTTAGGCTTCAAAAAGTAAAAGAATTGGTTCTCAGGCAATGGTTTTTGAAAATATAGTGCGGGTTGGGCGTGTCTTTTGGGGGGGGTGTTCCAACCAATAAACAGTTTTGTAATCAATAAAAAAACTGTGTACAATCAACCTGGGAAAGGGCCTCCCCACATAGATGTATTTCATGATGAACTAAATAATGGAATACAGTATTTGACTACCAATGGACTTATATTATAGGATTTTTTAAATTTTATTTTTAAAATGGAAATAAAAACGAAGCGTGCGGCGAACTTTATGATGATACGGGGGGTGACTGAGAACCAAGACTATCATTTTTTTAAGCCTTAAGAGCCAAGATTGCTTTGGGCAAGTGGGCGTTATGATATTTCAAATTATGAAAGTGATTAGGCTAACACATGAAAAGTAGAAATTTTATCTTATCCTGACTCATACGCATGAGCAATAAGTATGAGTCAGGATAAGTATAAATAATATTTTTACTCCAAAAAATACATATTTTATGTTATCCTGACTCATACTTATTGTTCCTGAGTCAGGATATTTTAACTAAAAAAAACCCAAACATTTTCAACCAATATAAGTTGTCAGTGTGTTTGTCTTTTTAAGTGAGGTGGCTGGTGACATTTGTGAGGTGTATGAGTGAGTTACCCTCAATGTACTCTGTGTCTTGTCATCAACTTTCTATTCCGATCAACTCTGTATGAGACACACTTGATGGTATCTTGTGGGGTCAGTATGTACACAGTAAGGAAGTACAATCCGTAAAAATGCATTTTGCCAGACACCTATCCACCATGTTTGTTTGTTGCTTCTATTGTAGCCGAACACGACAGTCACTATTTAAAAAAAAAAGGGTGGTGAATCTCAAAATAAGCACCAAGAAATAATCTACTTGCATTTGTATGGTTCAATGCAATTAAACCTCCCACTGGAATATCAAAGCAATTTATTTACATCGAAAATTGGACATCAAAAACAAAAAAGGAGGAAGGTGTCTGGTACAGTGCAGTGTTGCCGTACAATAAGTACCACTTTCGATGATTATCCAAAACAACTGTCTTAAAAATATTTTTCACTTATCCTGCTTTACTCTTTAATGCATTCATTCACTGCTGACCTTACGACAACAAAAAGACAGTGCTCAGACAGTGCTCAGCTATGGTCTTGGGTGAAGAAATAAAGATGTTTCCGCTTTTCACTCCTACTTTTTGCATGGACCATTGCCTCTGTCATGTGACCTTGATGACAAGTCACCTTCCTCACATCACTGAATGTCGTGGAACAGCAAGGACGTCTCTCAACTGAGCTCTTCAAATTGGATTTTTTTTTCAACCTTGAGCTTCAGCTATTAATCTAAATTATCTCAGGGCGTTCGGGTAGCCTAGTGGTTAAAGTGTTTGCTCGTCAAGCTGAAGACCCGGGTTCAATTCCCGACATGGGTACAATGTGTGAAGCCTATTTCTGGTGTCCCCTGCTGTGATATTGCTGGAATATTGCTAAAAGTGGCGTAAAACCATACTCACTCACTGAATTATATCTGCAATTAAGGAGTAATGCAGGATAAGTATACATATGTCAAAAAATATTTAGATTTTACTAATATTGAATTATAACAAGGGGACAATAACTGATTAAATTTTCAACAAAACTGTTCTATGCTGTGAGGCCGGGGGCAATTTATTTTCTTGATTTAGTTTGAAAAACAAACTCTTCAAGGCACCTGTGTACATAACTGTCGATGGATGTGATTCGCATGAATGTTTGGTTGGACTTTGTAGAATGTTCCATAAAGTATAGGAAGATTGGAGAACATGTAGAGCGATTTGCTTCATCTGTCGGTACATGGGGGACAATAAAAGGATGTGAGGCCAGGTGTTTTTGAGTGAGACAGACAGGGCTGAAAATATGATAATTTATTGTGGCCTGAACATTGGTTAACACCTATTGCTGTAAACACATTCAATGAAATTTAACATCTTATTTATGTCACATGCTGTGACTTTAGCCACAAGTCTGTAGCCCGGGTTTGGTCAAATGTGTTTTGGTCCAGTAAGCTTTGTAAATATTAGTCCATATATTAACACTAAGATCCACTGAAAACGATATCAAGAAACAGGTTCGGGCTTAGTAGACTCAAAAGGTTGTGAAGATCCGGGTCAGATAGGTCTTCAGCAATCCATGCTTGCCGTAACAGGAGACTATGCTTGTCGTAAGAGGCGACTAACAGGATCAGGTGGTCAGGCTCGCTGACTTGGTTGATGCATGTCATCGATCCCAATTGCGTGGATCGATGCTCATGATATCAATCACTGGATTGTCTTGTCCAGACTTGATTATTTACAGACCGCCGTCATATACCATATTCGGCGTAATTAGCGCCCCGCTCTAATAAGCGCCCACGGCGATATTTCCTAATATATTGGCTTCTGAACAATCCCAATTGGCACCCTTCTGATTGGTCACTGTACACAAGACTTATTTTTTCGCGTATAATACGCACTCATGTGTTATATGTACCCTTAATCATGGGCAATTAAATTCTGAAAAAATATATCTGTCGTACATAAACAGTTCAGGCTGTCAGCATAAAACCACGAAATTTATCTTTCAACTTATTTTTTCACCAAAATAATATTCTAATAAGAGCCCCCTGTTCCTAATTTTGAGAGCGCCCTGTGCGCTTATTACGTCGAATACGGTAGCTGGAATATTGCTGAGTAGGGCGTTAAACAACAAACCAACCAACAAAAGGTTGTGCACAGACTGACATTGTCTGGCATGTTAAATCATTAAGCTCAGATACCTTCCGTTTATGCTTGCATATCCATATCATGCATAGATAAATGTTGTCTGACTTGAAACATGTGTAAGCTGAAAGATAGATAATTTTATTCCTACAACTGTTGCATGTTTGGAGTAGTGGGAATGTTGAATTTTATGTATTTCGTGTTGAAGTTATGTCCAAATTGGAAAAGATCTTCCTCTATACATGTATTTAGTGTTGTGTACTTTTATATATCTAGTATTTGAGTGCTGAGAGCTCTTGGAGTACATGTATTTGATCTTGTGTAATGTGTGTATGATGTTATTCTTGTCTCGCATACATCATATTTGTGGATCAATACCTCGCATGTATTTTTGAATCTGTTAAAAGTGTCAGGAATGTGTGTTGTCAGTTTTTTTGACGGAAATATATTCATTTTGTAACTCTACATAGGAAATTATTCACCAGTTGATAATCTTTTTTAACACTCTGAAACAAGAATTTATCTCTTTTTGTAATATTTATGGCATAGTTTTAACATGTTGATGAGATCAATTCCTTTGTCTAGTGTTTGTGATACATTATTGGGGTCCCAAAATTTGTTCATGTCTAAAAATTTATTAATGTATTCGTTAAAAATTACATATCTTAATCTTCATTCAGCATTGGAAATTAATAGAGTTTTATTACTCATAACTCTCTTAAGTTAATGGACCAACGAAGATCTGGGGTAGAATTGGTTTTCATCAACCCATGCTTGCCATAAATGGCAACTATGCTTGTCGTAGGAGGCGACTAACAGGATCGGGTGACATGATTGATGCAAGCCATTGTATCCCAATTTCGATGGATCGATGCTCATGATGTCAATCACTGGATTGTCTGGTCCAGACTCGATTGTTTACCGACTGGCTTGAATATAGCCGAGTGCGGTGTTAAACAACAACCAAAACAAAGCAGAGTAGGACCTGAACCAGTTCTTGTGAAGATATGAGGAAATTTGAAAGCTAAATTGGTACTTATAGAATTTTGAAAATATTTCACACAGTGAAACCTTGTCCTTTCTAAATTTATAAAGTTGAAATATTAAGATAAAGATCTTTATGCGCCTGCAAAACCAATATTGACGCTTTGGTATTTTATGTGTTCTTCCATGTTTTAATATGCCAATAAATTGATAGAAATCAATGTGGCTCTGTTGTCGAGGTAATCGATAGGTATCATAGAATCATCAGGACTCGATTTAGCCTTATAAAACCTGCACCAGTGCATCCTATTGTGTAATTCATGACACATGACACATGACACAGTCATCAGAGATCTTAGATTTTCCTCATTTATACTAGTTTATGCATCTGTGTTTCAACTTTGATAATACATTTATGAGATCAGGGTGCAACCTGGTTTAGTCTGGTGCAACTAGCTATCATGACAACATGCCCCTGGTGCAGGTTAAATCGAGTTCCTTAAATTGAGCCCTGATTATAAATTCCACCATGATCGCTATTTGCCATGACTGATTATTATCAATATTGTCTTTGGAAATGTGCAGTGTTCTATACATGCTGTAAGCACACTTTTGAAATCTTTACAAGCCATGGACCAGTATGCTAGGGTATATTTCCAATGCTGTATTACACAAATGTTTACAAAAATAATTTCTTCAAGATGAGTGAACATTTGGGACTCCAAATTAACAATGTTAATGGAGTTAGACACAATTTTATGGATAACAACTTCTTTAATACTGTGAAAAGTTGTTATCCATAAAATTGTGTCTACCTTGTTATCCGTCAACTTCTAAGTAATGCCTATCAAACAATTTTAATGGAGTTTGAAAGAAATTCAAATGAGATTGAGATCTCAAATAATGTAATAGTTGTAAAACCCTTGACTTAAAGTACTTTGTAAGTGCTCACAATATTGTATAATGTGTCCATTGATATTATTTTTGTATTTCTTGTAGTTGCGTTATCCTTCCAACTGGGAAGACGAGGACTATAAGGGCAGCCAGTCTTTGGACTGTGAGCCCTCACCTCCCTCCACAAAGAAGACTGCATCCTACACGAACCTGTTCGACACCTCTCAGCCAACAGCAGTGGGGGCATCCTTCCAAGCCAGCCAGCCCAACCATGTTAAGAGGGAATCACCAAGGATGCAACGAAACCGAAATCTGTACGAACGCTCCCCACAACGGACGAGACACGCCCCTCCTGTTGTGGACTCGTATCCTCGCGTTGATCCCCATCCCCGTGGTGATCAGCCACACCATAATCATCAGTATCCTCGTGTTGAGCAACAGCCTCGTGATACCCACCCACGGGGAGAAGGTCGACCACAGGGCTTGCCGGAGCGTAGCCGTGCTCCGATAGCAACGATTGAAGAGACTAGTATAAACACACCTATCACTCCTCCATCCACCAGCATCAACAGCCCTGGTATGGAGAGGATACCTTTGGGTTATCGTAAATACATGGATAAGGCTGTCAGCAACAGTCCCAAAACTTATAAATATCCACGCAGTCATTCCATTTCGCCGCCTCGTGAGTTTTATCCCTCTGTGGTGAACACAAGTCAAAATAATCGTCCCTATGTGGAGTATAATAATGTAGCATATCAGCAGAGGACTAATCATCCAACAGGGGGCGTGACAAGCCACCCGCCAAATATTATCAACAATCACCCCCAGCCGGGCATTTCCGGCACAAGGACTCCGAGCAACTCTCAAATGGGTGCTATCCGGTCAGAGGCCAGTAGTGGGCCCCATCGACCATTGTCTTTTGTTCGAGCTCTTGAAGTGAGTAAGGCTGTCGAGAGTCGGGAACAGGTACAAAGGGGAGATAACCCTCGACAGCAGCGCAATGAGAACAGCCGCAGCCTGTATGATTCCTCCTATGAAGTGTCCGTCTAAAGCTTGTTGTTTTTCGCCAGTAGGTGTGTCAATTGTGCATTGTTGCGACCAAGCTCCTGAAATGACATTTTTACAGTAAATGGTGTCAGTCTTGGCGGGATTGGAGGCAAACTCTTACAAACCAGTACCAAAGGGAGATAAGCCACACTCATATTTTATTGTTTCTGTGCATCTGCAGTATTTTACTCTTGGTGGAAGACAGTGTTTACATAGAAGAGCTAAAAGCATGCCTTTTTTTTGAGTGCTGTGAGTTGCTGATTATGTGTTATCTCCCTTGGGTTATTCTCAGGATTTGAATCTGTGAAAGCTTTCAAGCAAGCACAGGGCATACAAAGGATACTGAGGGTTCAGCTGGCTTAACCCTTTGTGGTTTCAGTAACTTTGTGACAGTAGGATGGGTTAATATTGTCATGGTAACTTACTTTTGTGATATTTCTGTGAATGAGGAACATACTGCTGTTTTCTCTTAATATCTCTGTGGGAGCTTTACACATCGTCTTGGACCAATGGCACCAGTAATCATTTAAGAAATGCCTAGACTGGACTTGTTTGAGCCGATATAATATGACTTCAAAATTTAGCTGGAAATCCATGGGTCACAAAACCCAAGTGTTGAATGTTAGAGATTAAGGAATCCCTAGATTTAAATTCTATTGCAGCAAACTTCAAGAAACCAGGACCCCTTTAGTTTTGAACTCTGTAATTGTAATGTCATGGAGCGGGGTTGAGATACTGTGCATTCCCTACTCTGCCGAAGACCTGTGTTCACCTAGGTAGGCAGAAGGGGAAGACCTACAGTGAGGTCTACACTGACAGGGCTGTACACATACAGTATAAGATCTTACTCGCTTACCCCAATGTTCCTTTACAGATGTTACAGCTTAGCAGGGTTTGAATTTAAACATGAAAATCTAGGGGTCCTCATCCTGATTTATGATAAGAGGTAAAGGGGTCTTCAGATTCAAGGGCAGTCGGGTAGCCTAGTGGTTAAAGCGTTTGCTCGTCTCGTGAAGACCCGGGTTTGATTCCCAACATGGGTACAATGTGTGAAGCCCTTTTCTGGTGTCCCCCGCCGTGAAATTGCTGGAATATTGCTAAAAGCGGCGTAAAACCATACTCACTTCAGATTCAAATACCGTAGCATGCATGTCATCTTCTCCCAATTGTGTGGATCGATGCTCATGATGTCAATCACTGGATTGTCTGGTCCAGACTCGATTATTTACAGACCACCGTCATATAGCTGGAATATTGCTGAGTGCAGCGTTAAACAAAACAAACAAATACCGTGGCAAAAAGCCCGAAGGTGCCCTGGACCCCCTTTATTTAGGACAGTGCTCAGCATAATTACTATCAATACTATTTGTAGTTGTCCAGGTTGCGAAAATGATAAGAAAACTTGTAATGTTAGTGAAACATGTTTGGGCAAATACTGGGGTAGGCATTTAAAAATATTTTTTTAGTTTTTGAATTGTTGGTTCATAATCAATTCTTCATGGGCTTGTATACACAGTGTTCCTCAAACTCCCGTGAATATATTTGACAGCTATGCTGTGCAGTGGTGACACATGTCTATATTAAGTCAGTTTATGAAATAGGGCTGGACTGATCACTTACCGTATTCGACGTAATAAACGCCCCGCTCTAATAAGCGCCCACGCCTATATTTGCTAATATATTTGCTAGTGAACAATCCCACTTGGCACCCCTTCTGATTGATCAATGTACACAAGACTTATTTTTTCACGAATAATACGCACTCGTGTGTTATATGCACCCTTTATTACGGGCAATTCAATTCTGGAAAAATATATCTGTCGTATATAAACATTTCAGGCTGTCTAATAAGAGCCCCCTATTTCTAATTTTGAGAGCGCCCCGGGCGCTTATTACGTCGAAATACGGTATGTCAAATTGGACCTCATCCAAGCACCTTACCATTGCCCGACATTGAGATGTGTAAAACCAATGTTATGACAGTGCAACAGGATTTGACATCTGGGATGTTTCTATGACCTGACAGGAATTTGTTAAGGAATGCATTTTTCTCCACCAGTTTTCCTGTGTAAAAAGACATGTTTCTTTTCAGATTCAATGTCAGCGTCATTTCATGTCTGCTTCTCCGTTTATCATGGTTTAGCCATCTTTGTTATTTACCATTGTTATCTGAGTGTTGATGGGTAGAGTTCTCATAGGCTCCCCTCTCACTCAAAGCAGCTAGAGACTTGTTGAAAATATCTCTACACCACCTCGATGCAGTGTATTCAGGTGATGGAGGAATATTGTGTATACAAGCCAGTGAAGTATTGACTATCAGTTGGTTAGCTATTTATTGAGTCTGAGCTGTTACATGACATCTGCAACGCATGTTTTCTGTAAAAGGGGACCATGCTTATCGTAAGAGGCGAGTAAAGGGATCGGGTGGTCAGACTCGCCGACTTGGTTGATGCATGTCATTGTATCCCAATTGTGTAGATCAATGCTCATGATGTCAATCACTAGATTGTCTGGTCCAGACTCGGTTATTTACAGACAGCTGTCATATTGCTGAAATATTGCTGTGTGAGGCATTAAACAACAAACAAACAAAACAGACCACCGTCATATAGCTGGAATATTGCTATGTGTGGTGTTTAACAACAAACTAACAAACAAACAAACAAAAGATGTCATCCGCCGTTGGACTCGCACAATACGTTTCAGTTGGATCGCATGTTCTCAGTGTTAAGACCTGATGCTGAAAGTAAAAAAAGTAGGTTAGCTGTTAACTGGCTGATAAACTAAGAGCAGACAGTCTCTATACAAATTCAAATTCTTTAGTGACTCCTTTATATAGCTCATCAGTGCAATTACATAATGATAAAGTCAAAGCAAAACGTAATACAGTTGTACAGAGTTGTGAGATTTCACTTCTTGGTATGTCCTATAGAGATATTTCCTAAATTACACAATTGTGTGACATTCAGTATTCTAAATAACTGTTTATTTATAGTCGGATGACTTCTTCAATAGTACGGCTTGGTAAACAGTATCCAAAGGTTTATAATACACGGGGCAAATAAATATAAAATGAAATTCATCCTCTACATAATGTATACAAGATGGACATGCCCTGGAACTAACTTCAAATTGTTGATGACTTCCAGTTTTGAATGCTAATTTATGCATTGATAGTCTAAATTTAGTGATACATTATCTATAGTATACTGGTATTTGTTTTTTTAAATGATTTTTTGAACTAAAAGATTTGCACACTAACATGCAGTTGTACAGGGCCTATTTGGGATAACAGCCTCAAACATGCACTACAGGTACCTCCATGAGTGAGGACAAGGATTTAATGGGGATCCCTGCAAAGATGGAGTGAGATCAGTGTGTTATCATGTCCCTGTTATCTTGGTCCCATATGATGTCATCTTGTTTGTGAAAGGCTGTGTCTGTGCTTTGTGTCAAAAGAGACTTCCCATGATTGTCTCTTGTTTAAGACTTCAATGCATAGCCAGGAGTTTAAACTGTTGAAATTATGCCGAATGGTGAGAACTTGTAAGAAGGTTTTGAAAACTCATCACAAAGTGTACCTTGAGAATAGGCAAATTGTTACTGACATTTTGATTGTTGATAATTAAGAATATTCACTGTCACTGTTTCTGAGAGCAGTTTCCTAACACAATGTCATGTTGCACTTTGACCACCAGCCAGAAGCTTCAGGGTAGTAATAGAAAGACAATAAACAGGTGTGGAAATTGCGTTAAAATAGTCCGTCTTTTATGATGTCTTAAGGTCAGTGCTGATAAATTCTGGCTTGAAGACAGAAGGTTTCTCACAGACTGAACATGTACAATGATCCCACTGCCATTGTTGTTATGACTGTTTTTAAAAAAAAATTACAATTTATGTTCAATAATGTTTTCAGAATAGTCTCCAGATAAGGATCATCGATAGCAGTGTTGGTTCAGGAGTAGATTGTAATATCCTGTAACCATAGCAACAGAAGCAGATATTTCTAGAAGCTTAGGCCATGATGCTAGATGCTGAAGTTGCAAGAGGCAAAATGTATTAATTTTTATAGTAGATGTTTTTAAGGGTAGGAACTTGATGTCCATGCTTCAGGTTGGCTCAACATAAGGGTGTGATTAAAGTTATGGTTTGGTAGCAGATACCAAATAATTAATATGGTATTCTTTCTGGCAGCAAAACTCATTTTCTCTGTTCTGCGTTTTCATCATCTGTGATTCTTTTAGCTATGTTCCCCTGGCCTGATCATCATACCTGATAAACCTGATTCTGCTAGAATATATTAAAGATGTGAATCAAAATATGAGGTAGAGGTGTGGAGGCAAGATATGTTTCATTGTAAATAGTTGTGTGGATGTTAGTATGTTTTTCATAAACAATCAAAGTAAAGTATAAACTAATTTCTCTGCTGTCAGAGTAAATACAGAAAGTATCAATTTCTCCCAGCCATAATATTGCTGGAATATTGTTGAAAGTGGCAACGAAACTCACTCATTGACTAAAGGAAACTTGTGGGTGTCACAGGGGTTCAGATTGGTAAATTTGTTGTCCTAGCGGACAATGAGATTTAACCTATTTATGATCCTTGGTTTGTCAGAACTTTGCCAAAATGGTAACACCTACTGTATTCGACGTAATAAGCGCCCAGGGTGCTCTCAATATTAGGAATAGGGGGCTCTTATTAGAAAATAATTTTTGTAAGAAAAGTAACAGTTGAAAGATCGTAAATTTTGTGGTTTATGCTGACAGCCTGAAATGATACAAAGAAAGTCTGTGTGTATTATACATGACATATATTTTACAGAATTAAATTGCCCATAATTAAGGGTGCATGTAACACACAAGTGCGTATCATACACGAATAAATAAGTCTTGTGTACATTGATCAATCGGAAGGGGTGCTAATTGGGATTGTTCACTAGCCAATATATTTGCAAATATCGCTGTGGGCGCTTAATAGAGCGGGGTGCTTATTATGTCGTATACAGTATATCATATTGGGCTTTGCCCCTCATTGACTGACAAGTCATGATGTAACTGAAAGAATGGCATCAAACCCAACTCACTCCTAAATCCACTGGTGGATCTGAAGTGGCTAGTGCAGTTTTTCAGACACCTTACATGTTGACTGCACCCTCTGCCTAGTGTCTTTGTCACTTTGGCATTGTGTGCACCCCGCTTTAGGCTTTCATTTTGTATTAGGCTGAGAAGCCATGAAAAGCTGAATTAATGTTCACAATGGTTTAAAACCCCTCGGGCACGGGTGCAGAGTTGCGTCCCTTGGGCACGCCAGAAACCTATGATTTTGGGTTCGAATCCTGGTTCGCCCCGATTATGTTTCAAGGTTTGTGAGCACCATACCTGTGCTCGTGGGTTTCACCGAAGTGGTAAGCGTCTGAGACCTGCATCACTTTGGGCTTTCCTCCCACATTAAGCTGACACGCCGCAATATAACTGGAATACTGTTAAAAGCAGCGTTAAACCCAACTCACTCTCACTCACTTAAAACCCCTCACTCTACAGATAGAACAGCTTGTAATTGAGTGACTACCAGGTACATCACCCATTGCTGATGAAAAGATGCATTTTCAGTGAGATCAAATGAGGCTAATATTGTCCTTGTGGACCATCGCAAATACTGGATCTTAGACCGGTGAATTTTGTTTGCCTACAGCCAATCCAGTTCTATTTTCCCCATGATTAGAATCACATGTACAATTAAAGGACAGCTGCCTGATTTGACTTTTCAATGTTAATATAACTTTTGAAATGACTCGTGTAAGTGCAGTGTAAATATACAACGGAGTGTCATGTATTTGTTTATTTATGTATTACCATTTTCACCAGCATCTTTGCTTTATGGTATCTCACAACATAGTGACATGCATGTTTTCCCCAATCAGGCATCGTAACATAGTGTGCCGGCATGGGTGTCCAGTCATCTATTCTAAGGCGCCACAAATCACTGTGCAGAGTTGTGTCCCTTGGGCATGCCAGGAACCTATGATTTTGGGTTTGAATCCTGGTTCACCCCAGTGATGTTTCTAGGTTTGTCAACACCATACCCTTATCGTGGATTTTTCCAAAGTTGCAAACATCTGAGACCTGCATAAATTAATCCTTTCCTCCCACATTAACCTGACGCGCCAAGTTATAACTGGAATAGTGTTCAAAGCGGTGGAAACCCAACTAACTCACTCACTCACTCATAACATGTGCGTGCATCACAGTCTTTGTAATATTAGAATGTTGTCAGTCTCATGCAGTCTGTCACCATGGACTGTTGATTAACACTTGAGGCCCTGGATACAGCTATACTACTCAAAATAAGTTAAGGACCACCCTATTCTTTCATGTTACTGTGCCATGACAGATGAACTACAGTTATATGAAAGAATCGGGTAGGCCTGAATTTATTTTGAATAGTATATATATATATCAGTTCAATTCATTTTTAAAAACAAGAAGCTTAATCTATCGCAACCTGTCATAACATGACTGGCAGCTGAGAAAATCCAATTTTTAAAAATCTGCCGTTTTGTCCCAAACCTGTCTGACATTTATGAAAATGATAAATGTTATACATTTTCCATGTTTATACTGTTTTGGTACAGTGCAATTTCCCATCATTACTTGATCTGAAGAAATCTTGTACTTAGAAAACATTAAAGGGAAACAAAATAGTTCTGGATATATTGTATAATGTATCCACTTATCTCACTGCCCACAGTGATGCATGTAAAACATATGATGATCGCTTAAGTTGAAAAGTAACATGTCTTCTTGTTAATCACTGTGAAGAGCTGCAAAATTTCTGACATGGAAAAAAAACAATAATTACTAACTCATGTTATTGAGAGTATACCCATTGAAAAGAAAAGTGATAATTCTCGCCTGATTGATGGAGTGGTTAATTCTTGCAGTGGGTTACTTGGTTTCAATGTTACTTGAAATATGTTGTTTGTAAGTGACCAAAACAGTATAATCTGATAACCTCAACTAATAACCATGGTGACAGATTTGTTTAATGACATCATATTTCAAAGCTTATACCTGAAGTATTATGTTCTGCAGCTGGTTTTGGAATATAGCTTGTATAGGGTTCAGACTTGTTAGAGTTAACATATTGCCTCTTTCTGCTGACATTAACAGCAGTGATTAATGAATATATATCCCATTTGTTAAATGAGCCAATGTGTGATTTTTGTGACTATTTCTTAACATGTGTAGGCTGATTAACCTTATTGACATCAAATGAACATAATAATATTTGTATGACTAACATATTTCTGCAGCTTCTCTGTATCTATAGTTAAGGGGGCGGTCGGGTACCTAGTGGTTAAAGCATTCGCTCGTCACGCCGAAGGCCCGGGTTCGATTCCTGACATGGGTACAATGTGTGAAACCCATTTCTGATGTCCCCCGCCATGATGTTACTGGAACATTGCTAAAAGCGGCGTAAAACTACACTCACTCACTCACTCACTCTATAGTTTAGTGCCATAAGTGACTGAGCTCAGGCAACTGTATGTAGATATTTAAGTAAAGGGACCACGTTCACAAAGCAATCTTAGTGCTCCGTTGATTGTAACTAACCGTGCTCTAACAGTCTTAGTGGTAAGATCGTTTTGTGCATGTGCACTATTGGTGGACTGCTTCCCATACTCAGCTTCATGGAGTTGCTTCCCTTTGATTATGCTCATTTG